ACGAAGAAAAGGATTTTTGAAGTTCGGAATGTGTTATTCGGAATCAGCGTCCAAAGACGAACCAGAATATGTATTAAAATCGAAAAAATAAAATTCACTTGAATTTTGATCTAGCTGAACCTTACTACTACCAGTTCGTTGCCAGAGCCAATTTAGCATCCTGTGAATGAGGCGGTATAGCTCTGGACCCAATCCTCTGTGCATCAAACAGGACCAAAACGGATGGGTGCTACATCCTGGAAGCCGTCAAAGGCAAAACGATCTTACACCGAAGAAATCCACAATTTTAATGATAAACATCGACCATTTGGTGCATGTCTCACTTTTGTGCAAGTGAAGATCTTGCACAGTTAATATCTTCAACTGAGCCTACACAACAGGGAAAGGATCTTTGATTCGGTACATTATCTGAGAAGAAAGACTTTTCATAACTGTAAATGAGAAAGATAGGTCAATTTTGTGACAAAAAAACGAAGGACGATTTAACTCTCTCTCTTTCTTCTTCTCGAATTGTTGTGTACTTACCTCGAAGTCAAAGGTTCAAATTATTTCAGTTTTTATACTTTTTTATGACAAATCAGTAAGAAAACACAGGTTAAAACATGCCATAAATGCGAGTAAAAATGGTCTTCATCTTCACAGTACGTTAAAAAAAGAAAAAATGACTGTGTAGACAGCGTACATTATCCAAATCTTCCATGTACCGAATGTTAAGTGATACAAATCGGGCTTGTTTTGCAAATTATTTGTCATCGCATGTTGTGAACTATTGAGCGAGAAATTCAATGTGTTGCTAGATGGAACAGCAACTGACAGTTGTTCGTTGTTAGGGAGAGACTCGAGACGTATGCAATGACTTCTCACAGTGGGCATCCAGGCGGAAGTTAAGCAAGAAATCGAAGTTTCTCGTTTTCAAAAAATAAATAGTGCAAAATGTAGCCTTTCAAATTCTCTATCGAATGGTGTATAAATGTCTGTTTTGATATCGACTCCTTTGAGGAAGAATTAGGGCACAAAAACTGCATTACATATATGGTAAAACAGGACACATCATAGAAAACCGGGATTCTTCCCTCTCTCAGCAATGCTAAGCAATTCGAAAGGACATAGTCAAAATCAGTGGATTTCTCATAACGATAGTGGAAATGACACTACCCTAGTACAGTCGCATCGCCATCCTTAGCCACCCTCAAAAACAATATACAAATACATCAAACTGTTCCTCAGACACTACGCTATTTATGCTAATCTCGCAAAATCTCGCAACTCTTTCCTGACGGTTTTATGAATTTTCCAAAACCCCTAGTGGTTTTCGGGTATTTGAGAGATTTATTCGTTAAGAAAGCACTTTTTCGCACAAACAAGCCCAGATTTGGAATCCGCGTGAAAAACTGCATCTAATGGTGTATAACTCATCTAGTTTCGGTAGCTCGATTTTTAATTCTGGAGATTTCTTAGTTTTTGAGATTGTGAATGGATGAATTGGCAGAGTGAAATCATAAGAAATAAAAAGATCAAGTTGGTATGAAGTGTCGCCACCCTAAGGGAAAAACCGCACTCCGCGGAGTAAAGTACACTCTACTGCACTCCGGCGCTCCATACAATGGTCCGCAGTGGCGAAGTGTGTTGTTTTCTTTTAGAATAAAATAGTAATATTTCTCTCAATATTCTTCCCCCAAAACAGAGCAATCGTGTCCCCGAAACAGGACGACTGTTTTCCCAAAACAGAATATTCCTGTTCTTTTATCGGGAGTATTCCTCTGATAATGGAGCAATTGTGTTCAGTTTTGTGAATTATTTTCCCACAAACAGGACCTTTTTGTTCTGATTGTGGAACAAAAAGGTCCTGTTTGTGGGAACAGCGATTTCTGAGATAGTTCAGTTCAATAAAGGCACTCCACGCAGTGGCGGAGTGCGCTTGTTCCACCTTGCGCCATCCTCTGATAAACAAAGTGAAATGATTCGATCGACAATCGATGGAAGACCTCATCGACAGACAATATTGAAATCTCGCATAGATACGGATTGAAAATCGAGATAGTAGGCGTGATGATGAATAAAGAGAAGATTGTGAGAGCGAGAAGTGAGATTATAAAAGGCTTAAAGCAAATCAACACCATTGAAGTATTCGAATAAATTAAGCAACAACTTGTTGGCGGGCGATTCCAACGTCATCTTTGTTTTACTTTCAACGTAACAATACTATTTTAATTTCAATGTTACATACTATATGATACGATCAAAATCACTTTTGGTCCACAGAAGTGGAATCAGAGTACTTTTACCATTGTAGATCAAAGTTTTCCCAGTTCTCTCTTTGAATTTTTAATGGAAACTCGTTGTTTACCATTGAGAATGCGTTGAGAAATCACCGAAGAAAACGAGAAGGATTGTTCCATCAGATGGAGATAAAGAGAAAGCCTAACTCTCAAAAACAGAATTATGAATTTGAAAAACATGCTGCGAAAAGTTTAACCGAGGACTGATGCCTTGAGAGACACAAACACATCGAAAAAAACGTCTGATTTAAATTCATTAATATAGAAGATCAAACGATTTGATTATTTCCGTTTTTGTTCTAATCAGATCAGATGCAACTGAGCATTATTCGACTAGCGTGCAAGAGCCTCTTCTTCCTTCGGGCATTGTTTGAACTCAGCCTTTCTTTTTGTAGATACCTGGTGCCCTTTCGATTTCTCATTGTTACAAAATTGATAAATGACATTTTGAAAAACTGTCGCACATTTCATTGTAAAAAGTCGAGCTTTTTCCCATGGCGACCTGTTTCCAGAAATTTTTGTATTCGTTCTCACGTCTCAAACTCGTCTTGACCAGATTCTAGAAAGTGAAATGTTTCGAAACAAACGAAATGTGCATTTTGCTAGCAAATTCTTTTCCGTTTTGGAATTTGAGAGAAACGGTAGAGGAAGATTTTGTTTCAAGGACTGATTTTTAATTCGTCTCTACCTCACTTGACACCAATCTGAGAAGAAGTTCACGTTTTAAGCAGGGGATCATTCACAAATGGTACCACCACTTTTTTGCTGTGGGTTTAGAGGCTTTAGACATCACTCAGATGAGCATATTAGATCAAAAATTCAGATTTTGAGCAGTGCCTCGATTTCTTAGTCGACCCGTGGATGCTCTCTTAAGTTTTGAAGCACGAAAAAGCGAGGAGGCAGGCACAATGATGAGTGTCACCCAGTGGTAGACAACGATAAGCTTTGACAAAGGAGGCAATGATAACAAAGAGGCTGATTACTTGACCGCTGATGCACATGGACATGTCGCTATCGTTACGCTACCATAGGAATTAATTTCTTCTGTCTAAAATCGCGAATACGCAACCCTCGAGTATGAGTACTTGCTCGGCTCTGCTTTCAGCCGGATGAACTGGCTACTCCTTACAATTGAGTTTTATGCATCAGACACAATAAGCAGCAGTTGTTTGCAGGCAAACGGTTCTCCAAGTTACTGAAGATTGTTCACAACGGCCCTGACTCAATTGCTGTTAGTCACTGCCGCGCAGGCACATATGTACTATTCTTCTCGCCATCATTAAGTGTCTCTGACAATGTTCGGATCTAAAACTAGATGTTTCTCACCGATCTTTGACCTTTGAAGGTAGAAGTGAAGATTCATTCGGCTTAATTCGAACGATAATTTGTGTGCGTTGGACCACATTGACTTTCGAACGTCTGAATGAGATGCATTCTGGCGAAGACCGATCATATTTTGAGAAATCAATACTCTTCTAAAATGAGCAGATTAAGTGGAAGGATCGATAACCGAAAAAACATCGACATTCGAAAGAACACATTGGATGGAACAACGTCAATCGATGAAACACTACAGTGCTCCTGCCACAAATAATTGTTCGGAAAGCAAGGAGAGAGACAAAGAACGACTAGTCCCTCGAAACATCAAAGACAGATCGAAAAGGAAAAAAGTGTACTAGCTGGAATCAATCTAGGATACACTCGTCATCTGAACATTCGAAATCGACAAAGTGATCAGTGGTGATCGGGAAACCAGCTTGAATCAAAAGAATCGTGCTCAGTCGGATTGTTCAAAAAATCATCCGGAGTACTTGAAATGACTCGAACTTGAAATTCTTTTGCAAAACACAACAAAATATTCCCTTTCTTTTAGAAAATCACAAGTTGCACAACCGATAGTCGATCAAGGAACTGCGTAATTAAATGATGATTTTCAGTCTGAAGTCTACTACAAAGATCATTTTTATTTATTGTGGTTAAAATATAAAACTGTTTTATCGAACATAGTCGTGATTTCAACATCAAACAAAACCATCGAAAGGCGCTTGCGGGAAGATCACTACCGCAGATCAGCGAAAACAGGAAGGATGGATGGGAATAGCAGCAAAGAGTCCATCGATCAGAAAAAACAGTCAAATTTCACGGGCATGAAGAACATGCGCAAGTCACTGATGTTTGTCATGGTGAGCAAGAAAATCAGTCATAATTCAAGCACCATTCGAACTGTGCGCTGAACAACACTAAAATTGTGTTAATCTCTGTTATTTCGCTCATGTTCAACCAAACCAATCTCGGAATCGTGTTAACGGATAAGTTCGAAAAAATTCTCTCCACGGCAGATAAAATTGGATCAAGAACGTAAAGAACCAATAAAAAATGTCTTTTTGATTAACGATAATCGGTTTCTTTGAATTGTTACAATTATATGATTAGTTCAATAGTCCTACAATCTGTGACACTCCACAACAATCATGATGGATTTGACAATACTCTTTGAAAGTTTCAGTCGAAACATTATCTTTATATAGCTGTAATGTAGCATATCCAAATGCCCAATATGAAGGTTTCGGATTACCATGTCCATGACGGTTGAATCCATCTCGATAAATATGCAAATTACGTTTCGTATATTCTGCTTTCACTGTTTCCCATTCAGAAGCATAACCTAAAGTGACGAAAATTTTCTCAAAGTCGCACAAACTAGGTGTGCATAAAACATTTCCATTATTCCAAACGGGTTCATCGTTCTGTTTATAATCTCGTCCTAATAGAAAGATTTTTATAATATCCAATCGTCGAGGAACCTTTTCATTTAAATCCAATAATTTCTCTTTTAATTCCAGAAATCCAAGGCTCGAAGAGTTCGTAATCGCTAAATGAACGTTTGCACGAGTTAAACCTTCTCGCATTAATTTCACGAGCTCACTATGAGATTTTTCTTGCAAAATTGATTGAACCAATGAAGACGCTAATTCCGCACGTTCCGCACGTCCTTTCATTGCTAAATCGGTTGCATATTGATTTTCAAATCGTTTTCTGATGTAATTTTGTACCATCTTTTCGGCCGCTCTTTGATCTCCCAAATCAATGATTTTCATCGTTTTATTATCACTATCCACTCGACTGGCTTTACTAGTATACAGAAGAGCTTGAACAACATTGTAGAATTTGAAAATCTTTATATCATAGTTAATATTTAACGCTTCGCACACTGAATCCTGGTTGATTGTAGAAATATGCTTGATACTGTTATTATCGAGATTAATCACTGCCGAAATGTATTTAGGCAGTAAAGTAACGTAATCAACGTAATAAGCTGTCTTGATCAGTTCATCTAAATATTGCTCATCAATATGTGCTTGATCGTGAAACTGAATTTCATTCAATGGCGGTTCGCTCTCGAATAATGGCTGCACTAGAGCTTTATACTTGTTCAAATCGAGTCCCACCAATTGATCAAGCATCTTCTGTACGATCAAATCAGAATCATCACGATTCTTATATTGTCTGCGAACTGCTTGCCAAATTTCATAGGTATAAAGAGCGCGTAAGATTTTAGGTAATTGTTGTAACTTGTTGGCATCATTTTCGCGGTATAATTTGATGAATGGACTGATCATATTTGTAGTTCCGTTGTTTGCAATATAATAAGATAATTGATCGTCTTGTTCTTTTATGTACGGCATAATATGTTCAAAATAATCTCCAACGACGATTTCATAGGTTTTCACTAGTTTGTCGAAGGATTCCAAATATAATTCAGATTTATTCACGTTTAAGTCTTCTACTAATTTCCAAATACCAGCACATATAGTATAACCCCCAGTCATTGGAACATCTGCTATCAAACGTCTCATTCCAATAGAACAAGTGTATTCCAGTAGAGAAGGCGCATGAGCTTGTAAAAATCGAGCTATTCGCTTGTCTTCAATAATGGGAATAACATTCGTAATAGTCTTGTTCGTAGCTGGAGTTTGTAATGGTTGGCCTCTTGATTGAATGAATGCAGTTAAAATATCGGATAAACTGACATAACAACCTAGATACATTTCATTGACTCGCCAAGTCATTGGATCAGGAAATTCGCCGATCGGACCGGAACAAGCTATTCCGACGATATTAACCATTCGCAAGATATCGTTGGCATCAACATCCTCCAATATATCATCGGTAACCAACTGGCAAACTGCACGAATCCCACCGAGAGTGGTATCCTGAGAAAAGAATGACACTACATGCTGATCATCATCAATGTTTTGCAGTTCATCAATATGTTGAGCCATAGTTCGAACTTCTTTGCGAAGAATTTCATTAAAATCCAATCCTTGAGTAACGGCACGTCGAGCCAAACCACGAGCATTTTTCGAAGAACTATCAATTGAACGTAAATATTCAGCTTGTTGTGCGGAATTCAGTTGAGAAACTTTAGCATCATTCGCAATCTGAGACATTCGCATGACGAATGATTTATTCTTACGCGCAATCGTATATTTCAGATATTGTAAGCGAGCGCGTAAACTGGAATCATTTAATAAGATGTTGATGTCTTGCTCACTGGCTAACAGCGAAGTTTCAATACGTTGAAAATAGCTTAGTATTTCTTTGATCGCGTTTTGAGATTCGACGGTATTAACAATTTTTAGAATTTTCAATTGATTCATGAAATATTCGATTTTCGATTTCAATAATTTTTCATACGTATCTACAGTTAATCCTTCTGCCATACGAATTTTAATATTTACTTGGCCTATACTTAAATTTCCTGTTGGTACTTTGCTCAGCCAGAATAAATTTTCACCGGCAGTCACCGGTATTGTGTCACAATTATTACTTTGCCATGGAGTACTTTTCAAGATGAATTCTTCCGACTTGAGTACTGCACATCGATTCAACGAATCTCCGGAGAATAAACTCGTAATTGTTGCAGAAATTTCTTCGTCAGTCAGAGTCGTTTGCAAATCCAATAAGTTCACTTGTGATACATTGTTTAATTGTAAAAGACTGGAGACAGCTCTCGTGTCTGGTTGAGACAAAGAAGTAAATAGTCGAACGGCTTGTGAATTAATTATGACTTCATTCTTGAGTAATGAAGTCAATCGAGCTGCTTCCGTTTGAACTTGAGTTTGATCGTGAACTTCTCCATCGGAAATTGTTAACAATCGCAAAGCGTGACAATCTTTTGGTAATTCAGTTGTAATGATACGAGTTAACATTGAAATTGCAGGTGCCATAAATGTGCGACCTTGACATTTAATGCTGTAATTGTCTAATTGTTTAACTGGAATAGCATATCTGTTAGTATCACTATCAAAGGTGATCAATGTGATGATGTCATCTTTAGCATAGTCCAGAGTTTTGAAAATTTGAGGTAAAATTCGATTTACAAATCTAGGGACGGAGTTACCCATGGAACCAGAACGATCAAGAATGACGATGGTTGAAACATTTGAGTTGGACAGACGTGTTTCAGTGATACTGAGATCATCCAATGTGTTTAATGCAAGTTTTCCAATAAAACCAGTTTCACTAGGATAGAGAAATAATTCGAGATCAGAGGCCATATTGTTCATGTTGTAGAGAAAAAGGAGAGCCGCGTTGGACAATTGATTATATCTTTAATATAAATAGTGTGAGAGGCGCTGATGCAATAGTAATTGCACAAACGCCGTCAATCTTACACAACACACCGTCAGTGCTTTTCAATTATCAGAAAGAAAGAACGATAACACTCTGACCGTATTTTTCTTCGTTCGTTATTCGTGTGTTTTTTGTTCTTTTTCTTTATTTCTAATGATGTTATTTACGACAGAACAACATTTTGTGGCTGCCTTTGTCACGGTTTATAGTTTCATACTATGTAAAATGATACATTTCTATTAAAGGATCATGTTTCAAGAATAAACCAATGAGACAAGAAGGGTGGCTGATGTATTGTGGCAGATCGGTGGCGATTGGATTTGTACAGAAAATAGAGCAAATGCAGATCTATACGGGAGACACTTGATTGATTTTTTGGAAAGAATGGTGAACGAGAGCAATTCAATGTCTAGAGCATCAACAACGAACATATTCAGTAAAACATCCTCCCATTTGCCTTAATTGATCTTCCTGTTGGCGATATCTATATGCGTAGGTCAAGTATTAGTTCATTCGGTATCCTCTCATTTTGTCACATACTTGTTTCGTCCCGTTTACTTTCTATTATTCTACTCATTTTGTGACTATTAATTTCTTTTTATCAGCTGTGTACTAATTAATATTAATATAATTAATTAAGATAACATAAGAAACTGATACATGACATATTGATACGGTGATACGTATCAATATAGACTAGTTCGTGTTTCTAAACCTGGATCAATAACAGTTTAATTTTAACGAAGTCATTTTGTATACTCCATGATAGAGTTTAACTGTTTAACGGGAAAGCTTTTGCAAAGAACAACAATACTCATGAATGAAACAATGACAAGGATCTGACGGTTTGACCGTTACGTTGTTTTATGGCCTATAACTGAGCTATCATATGCCTTCATGGCACCATTTAATATAACAAAATTCATGTAATAATAATGTTCTGTACATAAACAAAACGTGGTGGCAAAATTCATAATTTTAACCATCATCAGTATACAAAAACACGTTCGAATAAATCAATTCATGAGTGGCGTTGTCGAATTAGAAATTGTAATAGTATATCGAAGCATTCAAAGAAGAAAATGAATATAAATACAGAATGTTTCACACAAATAGTCAAAACGGAAGAAAGTCTACAACAAGTGTGATAATAAATTGAAGGAGTATTTTAAAAGATATAAAAATGATACTTTGTCTGGAACTGAACTTGCAGTTAAATGTGGCAATGTTTTAATACTGTAAAATTACCTGTTTTATTGTAACTCGCAAATAAAATAATAAATGTAACTTATAGAGCCATGTATCAATTTCTTTCATTAGCTTAATTAATATTGACTAGTATACAGTTGATAGAAAAAAATGAATAGTTATAAAATAAGTAGAATGATAGAAAATAGACGGGACGAAACAAGTATGGCACGAAACGAGAGCTAATTAACGAATACGGGACGAAACAAGAGTTATCCATTCATTCGCAATGAACATTAATAATCTATGATCAATTAGCACCATCGATAATTATCAAGTGGTAACAAATACATATGTCGGCTTAGGTTCTGTTCATATCGTAATAGAACAATATTCACATGCATACATGCATGCACAATAAATAAAGGGATGGACACATTAGAAGACCCAGTGTTCTAGTGTGTCCTATCGTTTACAAATTTTAGGAGTCTTCTACTGTGTCCGTTAGAAAAGTCATATTTTTCGATGCACTTAGCACGAGGGAACCTCCCGAGGTGTCCATCTCGGATTTTTTTCATTCATATGCCAATC